AAAATTCTTCATATTACTACTGAATCGAATAAAATTCAGATATAACGGCTTGTACTTAACAAATTTGAAAGTGTCAATTGGCTTGAATTCTTCTTCTTAGAATTAGTTTAGGAAAGACTTAAGAAATGTGATTTTTTCTATTGCCTTCTAAGGAAGATTTGGTTAATGTAATGATAATGTTATGCATGCTACCAGTAAATGTTACTGGTTTTTGTATTGATAGATATGAAGTATTGGACGAAATCTAATATGATCTCAACTATTCCTGATATTATATTAGTTATTCTAAAGTTAAAAAAATAAGAGTAGGGGAACCCTGGCCTTTTCTTTCAATAGTAAAGGATCCAATACAAGTAAAAGAGTTTCTTACTTAGATTTAGAAAACAATACCAGAAAAATTTCCTTTCTTACAAAAAAATAAAAGCAATATAGTTAATGTAAATCCAATTAATCTTACTCTAGCTAAACATAAAATTACTTCGAATAAATTAAGAAAGATAGGAACAAATCATGCTAGCAGGATCCATAAAGATAAGAACGATTCTTATCGCTAATATTTACAAAAGTTAGCTTGCATACAAGTAATAGATCATCATGAATTAGTAGAAAGTTATGATATAATGAATGACCTATTTTTTTATAATTATTCGAAAGCATCTTAGAAAAATCAGGTAAAGATAAAAGAAAAAGTAGATTAACCCTGATAATTATTTGTATATGTCTGTCTGATCAGGTAAAGGTATTTAAGCTCTTTAATAAAAACTAATCACATAGTGAGATAAACATTATTTATTAAATTTTATTTTTTGCTTGAGACAAGATATATTATATATAAAATATCGCAAAAATGATAACTGATCAAAATCATTCATCTGATAGTATAGCTAACGAGCAGGAAGTTATCAAATATACAAATATATTAGCCTAGGCATTTGAACTAAATAAGCAAAATGCAGAAGTATATAGTGCGCTTTCTGGTGAAAATAGAATGCTTAAGAAACAATTAGAAAATTATCATTTCCAATATAACATTTTAGAAAAGAGGATAAAAGACTGAAAAGAGATGTAGTATCCTTAAAAATTAAATTAGAGATCTGAACGAATGTGTAGATAGGAAAACTGTGGTCAACTTAATTCATGAAATAGTTCTCTCACTAATTGGTAAGAAAGATAAGAATTCCTTCTATTCATCTGAGTCTTCTGAAGATTTTGATTTGGTTGAGATAATTGAGATAAAAGAAAAAAAAGGTTGTTCCTCATAAGCAATAAAGAAAGGCACAGCTGAGAAAAAGGTTTAACAGTTAGTGGTTTAAAATAGGTCGAGCCAGAAGGTTTGAAGAATCAGACATTAAATAGAGGTTTAATTTTATATTTGAATATTATATATGCCATAAGAAAATGATATTTGTGAATTATGTAGTCAAAGAAAATATTCTTATTGAGACATCAATTAATACGTGCACTGATGTAAATTGTATTAGCTAAAACATATTGGTGAATTAAGAATTATATATCATAGTGAAAGCAATAATATTGCAACTCTAGATGCATCCTATTTTATATTAGAAAAGATCAATCTGTATATTAGTTTTGAAACATAAAAGTACACCTGTTGAATTCATAGTTCTTGGCCTGATTATTATCCTAATTTAATATTAGAAATGTCATAATTTCAAGAAAATTATGCAACTTTGGATATATACAATTCAAAACTATTATTAAATAATAATTTTACAATCCTATTCAAAGAAGTAAAATATGAATCTAATGCGGAGTAATGATTATCTGAAGCAGTAATCATCAATATACATGATTTTATTTTTTCATTTAAAGTTACAATATATAAAACAGAATATTTATGATGCAATCAAGTATTTTTAATATTGCAGAAGTATTAGAACAGATTTTACATTTTTTAGCAGTAGATAAATCCCTCTATCCTACTCTATTTGTTTTATAATTGTGATACAAATGTGATATTCTTATTCTATAAAAACGCATAGAGCTAAAGAAAAATGATTTGAGTTATAGGCATCATTTCCAAAAGATTATAATTATTGTGTAAGAGATTGTACTAGATGCAAAAGATTTATAAAAATAATGAATGAAAAGCATAAGTCAGCTTATGTCTCGAATCTAATCCATTTAGAAATTACTTATTACCATTCACTTTCAGATAAAAAATAAAAAATATTATGAATACATTTCCAAATATAAATCATTTAGATTTTAAAAATAGTATAGGTTTTGGTGATAAATCACTATTTATAATAGTAGAATTATATCCTAATTTAAGATATCTTAATTTGTGAGATGTTCAAACAATAACTAATAAAGGCTTATATGTAATAGTAAGATAATGTTGTAAATTAAAATATCTAAATATTTTTTACTGCAGAAATATTACCGATAAATCTTTGTTTTGAAATTGCAGAAAATTGTCATGATATACAAGTGTTTCATTTTGCTAAAGCACGTTAGATCACAGATAAATCTATAAGTTGCATCTTAAACTCATTCAAATTTACAAAATCTTGATATTGTATAAGGTAAGGAGAATATTAAAAATGCTAGTATGATAATACAGAGATATTTCAATATAGAGTATCTTGACTTTTGTGATGTTATGGCTTAGTGGGATGATAGATTAATTATAAATATCATCAAAAGATCTCCAAATTTAAGATATATAGAGATCAGTTGTAATGATATTGGTGATGAGGTTACTGAAGCGCTGGCTTATACTTATTATAAATTAGAATATCTCAATCTGGATTACTGTAATTTTATTAGTAAACTATCAATTTATAATGTTATACGTTCCTGCCTAAAGCTTCAATATCTTAACCTTAGTTACTACAATATTACAAGTAAGATTATTGAAAAAATTGCTTACTCATGTTTCAATTTAAAACTCTAGATTTGGAAGGATATGAAAATATTAGCAAAAAAGCCATAGATCAGCTAAATCCAAATATTTATATCAAAAATTTTGATAAAGATTACTGCTGTTCTGATTCAGAATCTTCTAACTCTAAAACTGAATCAGAGTCTAAATAATCTAGTTAATACAGAACAGTGATCGTATGATTTTATTTTTTGTTTGAAAATACAACATATAATACAAAATATTTATGATACATATAAGCATTTTTATTATATTAGAACTATTAGAACAAATTTTATATTTCTTATTAATAGATAAATCCCTCTATTCTGCTTTATTTGTTAGCTGACTTTGATATAGATACGATACTTCTATTCTATGGAAATGCATTGAGCTAAAGGGAAATGACATATATTACTCTCAATTGAAAAAATTTATGAAAATAGTGCGTAGAAGATAAAAGTTAATTTATAGCTCAAATCTAACTCATTTGGAAATTTTACACTATCACCCACTTTTAGATAAAAAATTTAATAGCATTGTATACTTGTTTCCAAATATAATTTATTTAGATTTCAATTATATCACAGGATTTAGTAACAAAATACTAAAACTAATAACAGAATCATACCCTAATCCGAATATCTTAATTTAGAAAATGACAAATATATTCTGTAATATGAATAATATAACTGATGAAGGTCTATATGCAATTGTCCTGTTATGTTATAAATTAAAATATCTAAATATTTCTCACTGCACAAATATTCGTAAACTATCAATTTGTAATATTATTTATTCTTGCTCAAGGCTTCAGCATCTCAGCCTTAGCTTTGGTAAAATTACTGATATAATTATCAAAGAAATTGCTAGTTCATATTTTAATTTAAAGTATCTTAATTTAAAAAGGTATTATATAATTAATAAAGAAGCTGTAAGATCAGCTCATTTCACTTAATCTAAATATTCATGTTGATAATTTTGTAAAAACTTTAACACCTTCTGATTTTATTAACGTATTTGGTGATTTTTTATGCTAATAATCAAAATTCAATTCTATTTCAAATATTTGGCAATCTGATTCTAATACATTTATAGCTAGTAAGTCTCTAACTTAAAGTATTATTTTCATCTTAATGTTGAGAACTGCTGATAGAATACTGACCAATCAACCAGAATGAAACACTCTACTGATCTAACTAATCTAAATTAGTGATCAGCTTGAAAGATTTTGTTGGATTATACCCTGTATAACAAAAAATATAGATTAGCATTTTACCCTCTATTGATGAATTTCTGTATTATCACACTTAGAACATCTAAACTTTTGAATATATACTTTCATATTTTTCTCAACTTCTTCTTTATCATTTCTTTATCAGTATAACTGATAATACTAAGATAATATTGAATAATGCTTATATCTTCTTTTAGATATAAAAGCAAATGATATTTTTCTCTAAGTGAAAATTTTCCCAATGATCTATCGATAAGATCTTCTTTATATCAATGTAATATATTAAGAGTTAGGTGTCTACCAATCTTAAGATGTTCCACTATCGATATAATTATCTTCATTAAATTAAACAATAGTTTACTTATATAATTAAGTATTTTTGCTTTTTTGCTTTGATTTAATGCTGTTTGGTTTATATTATCATTAATACTAAGATTTCTTTTGGCTAAGCGCTTCTGAATAGCTAATACATCCATCTTCTTGTACAAAAGCATTTCATATAGTTGATTTTTAAGTATTTCACTTTAAACAAATTTATTATTAGTATTACTTGTTATGATTGTATTTATCTCTAACTAGCATATATTCAAATTTATATCTAAAATGCTGATCATTAACTGGAGTAGTGATCACCAGCTCAGAAGATTTTTGCTAAGCTATGCATAGCGTTTTTAGCCAGATTGTATGACAGAAAATGTGAATCATCAATTAGAATCTTGTGTTACATATTAATTTTCACATATACTAAAAAGAAGCTATGCATGCTACCAGTACTTTATTTTTATTAAGTATAATTGATCTACAATATTAGTAAAATATTTGATGAGAATATAGATGCTGAGAAGGAGAAAGCCTTCAATGAATTTACCAAAAAATATGAATAGAAAGAAGAGGATTAAACTATTTATGATGATAATTGACACGACTGGAATAACCTTTTTTGTGAAATTAAAACCTATTGAAATACAAAGGCAGTCAAGTATTAAAGAGAGAAAATACTTAAGCATTTGTATATAGTCTACCTAGTATAAGTAATCCAACATCATTATTTCATGTATTCTTACAATCAAATATTATTTATCTTTCACAAATAATAAATCTAATAGAATTGCTATATTATCCACTTGAATTTCAATTAGAAATATGGGGTCTCTTCAGGATCTGGTCAGATGATATATATTAGTCAATCTGAGATTAGTGATCTTTAGCTCAGAAGAATTTGCTAAGCTATAAATTGTGCGACAAAAATAGGCTAATCATATAATAGGTCTGTGTAATATTTTCGCATATTAATTTTGCATATATATTCACTAACCAATCTCTTTATTTTTTCGATTGAAAAATTTTTTAACTATATAAAATGCATATAGTTAATTTACTTGATCAGCTTACGCTGAACTAATACTATTTATTCTAAAGAATTTATTGATACAGAAACTTAAAAAATGTTATAATATAAATAATATATGAAAAGTTGAGGCACTTTGAAAAATCCGCAAAAGATTAATAGTAAATTATATATTCACTTATGCTAAAGTAACTGTAGTAAAGCGCTTGCCAAAAAAATGGATTTATATATTTCTAGAGAATATGAGTCAAGATATCCTGCAGTAAGAGACCTTGGTATTAGCATTATTAATGAAGTAATTGACCAATCATAATGAAGTCATGTGAATGATGCAATATAATAATCTCTTAATTCTGAATTCTGAAAATACTGAGAATTCTGCGAATTCTGAAAATATGGAGAATCTACATAATTTTAAAGATATTTCAAATACTGATGATAATCCTAATTTTATGAATTAAATAAAGTCTAAGAATATTTAGTGTTATACTTATTTTTAATATTCTAAATTTTATTATTATTTTTATTATATTTTATATTTTTATTATTTTACGTATTTTTATTATTCTCAATATATTTATTTTACTTATATTTTATTTATCAAATTAGTTAGTTTATAGCATAGTAATTAGTTAGCCATAATAAAAGAAATTTTGTATAAATAGATAGATTTTTTGCTTATATTGTAAATTAACTCTTTTGTAGATTTGTAAACTCTTTTGCAAATATGAGTTTAATATTAATAAATGAATCATTCAAAACTTATATCTTTCTGCCTCTTTGTGTCTTCATATAGTCTGACATAATACCTATACATTATTTGTAATTAAGTTTATCATCTGAATTCTTTAATTAAAATGTTTATAATCTCATCTTTTAAGTCTTCATACTTGATAGATTTGTTTAAGTCTAACATGTAAATTTGATAAAGTTAAAAGTTAGGCAGATCTTAATATCTTGACCGCAGTAAGCTGCAATTAGAAATTTTGAGTAGAGACTTGATAACATGACCATCTTGAGTTGAAGAATTCCATAGTGACAAAGTAATGATTTCTGCTAGGTTTCAAACATAAGAAAGTATATAAGTTTTGCAGATATAGTTTAATATTAAGAGCAACTGAAAAGAATATCAAAGAAGCTTAAGAGAAAAGATAAAGGAAATGAAGTGTTGAATTGAAGATACACAAAGATTACACAAAAGTTCAATGGATAGTACTTATCATTTCTGATCTTATAAAAGCTTATATAACATTTTAGTCACTCAAAGTTCACTGAAGATCACCTGACCAAATGCTAAATCTCAATTAGATAAAAGAAATAATAGATATAAATTTAGAACCAAAGTTACAGATATCATTATTTTGAATTTTACGAATTAAAATTTTACAATTTTTAGACCATCAGAATCATTAAATCTCAAAGATCATAATAATATATGTTTCATTTAAATCGGATCACTGGATGGCGAGATAATTGAAGAAATATTATTTTTATTCCTTTATTTTATTATATATAATTATTGGATTTATGAATAGACAAAGTTTTTTTTTATTATTATTAGTTTAGTTTTAGTAATTATAAATAAGGTTTTCACTAAGCCTAAATAAAAAGTGAGAGCTTTGGGTTGCCACTAATCCTGATGAAAAGTGAGGGTTATTACTATGCCTATAGATGAAAATATACGAGATATTAGAATTTTTGGAAAAGATTTATTACTTAGCCTATAAATAAAGTAAAAGGTTACGTTTAGAATACCTCAGATGGTAAGATAGTCTGCTAAAGGATCTATGTAAATAGATTTGTAAATAGATTTAATTAATTAATTAAAAATTAGCTAATAGACTAATCGAGTATCTATAGTTAACTATATTAATATTTTTGGACTTTTAAAATTCTGAGAAGATTTTTGATCACATGGTATAACAGATAATATAACATCAGCAAATGAGATAATAACTATTATTTATTTAGAAAATGAAAAATAAGAGTGAAAGCAAAAGTATCAACAGTGTGATTGGCAGCTCTTGAAATAATATTAAACAAATTTTTTTTTTAAAATGACAAAATGCAACAATGTGCAAAATTTTATTTAATAATTGAAAGATACAAATTTTGAGATATATAAACAAAAAAAAAATAAAAAAGAAAAATCTAACATAAAAGATCAGAAATATGTCAATATTTTGAATTCTACTTTCTTAATGATTTACTTCTCAAAGGATGAGTATACGCTTCTTCAAGTGAATAAATCCTATTCTCTTGATGAACCAAAAGAAAGAAATATTAGTTAATTCATTTTTTAAACGTTCATATTTAGCAGAAAGTTCAGCATTTTGATTTAAAAAAATCAATAATTGTTCTTTTAATATAGAGTTTTCTTGATGAATTTCTAAAATTTCTTGACGAGACCCTATAGCCTGAATAAAGAAAAAGCGCACATGAGAAATGTGAAGTTAGATATCTTCGACCAGCAAGTACCAGTTCATATAAAGGTTAGCTTAATGAATTCAACAATATTCCAAATGGCTACATATCAATACAGGACAATAGAGGCTGTAATAATCAGTTCTAAGCAAGGAAAACTCAATTTTGAGAATCTATAGTATAGTATAAGAAAGAAAGCAAAAATTTTAATATGCTACAGTCATATTAAATGAGATCAAACATACTGTTACACTTTTCAGATTAGAGATGAGTTACATATATTAGTCTATCAGAACAAGTTTATAAGAGATGCGTTTCATATAGTCTCAATCATCATGTTTAATCGTATTCTTAAGTATACCTGTCTTACCTTAGAAAACTCTCTCACTATGATAATTTCTTTAATGAATTAAAGCTCTATAATAAGTGGAAGTAGACTTTTCTTGTTTACTCAAACCATAATGAAGTTAAAAATATTTTAAGGAATTTAAAAATTTTGTGATAATTTTGAGAAGAAAGTGAAAAATTTGTGAAAAAGAAGAAATTCTTGAACAAATATTTATAATCAAAAGAAGTAACTATGAAAAATTCTTAAGATTGTGAGAATTATTTTCTTGCAGAAAAATAAACAAAAATCCATTGGGTCATATTGTATGATAATTATCACATAGAAATCTATAAAATAAAAACCTGTTTAAAATTGACGTAGTTGATCAACATTATTAAAATTGAATGATCATGCAATATTTGCATAATACATTTTTGATCGACATTTCTTTATTGAGTACAAAATTCAGGAAATCTTCATAAGCTACATAATTTTAAGAGTTTGACAAAATTCATGCATGAAGAATATGAAAATGTTAGTTTTCCTGAAAAAGAAATTCCTTGTAATATTTACATAGTTTATACATTAAGAAAAGTTAAATGATTTAATCAGTTGATCAAAAGTTAATTTTAAATTTGTATCTAATAATTTTCTCGTGATAGATTTCTTAAATATTAGATTTCAATGAACTTTCTTGATATATAAAAAGATTAAGTATATTATAAATGAAGATCAAATCAATATAATTAAGTCACTAAGTATATAGTTTTATTTACAAAATGATCAATATAAACATATAACTCAGCCATAATTACCAATCCAACTCAGCGCATCATCAGCGAAGAAAAATTCCAAGAAAAAGACTGAGTAAAAATAAAAATCCCAACTACCACCCAGACTACCTAATTGAAGTTAATACCTGACCTTCCTACAAGTCTTTATAAAATAATCACTGCTCTAAAAATGCCTCTTTTTAATAAAAGTTTTCAGTTTTTAACATATTTATTCTTTGTTGCAACGGTTCTTCGCAAGTATTTTGATCAGCTATAAGATATACCAGTCTGTCTGCTATAAGTAACCTCTTTCTTTTTTCTTCTTACACTTGAATTTATAAAGTTGCAAATTGTTTGTGAACTTTATTTTTTATTACGAACAGAAATTTTCATACGTTCAATTTTCTTTTGAACATCATTTTGTGAATGATTATTAGAAGGTATTATTTATTTTTTTTAAAAAATAGAAATTATTGAGAGAATTTTTAGACTTTAAATAATTCAATCAGTATACATAAAATCATATTTAAGAAAAATAATTTATCATATGATTATAACTTCAAAATCGAACTATTTATATAGAATTTTGAGTCTTATAAGTCTGAAAGTTAACAAAGTTTAGCCCTATATAATGTTAAAAAAATCTATATTTGTAAGGTCAATTGTGAATAGCATGAATATGGTATGCTTCCCTCTAATAGGTTACGTATGAATACGGTATACATTCTGTAAATTATTTTTGCAAATTTTTAGAAATTCAGAATTTGATTTTGAGGATGAAATTATTTCTTACTACGACGTTCAAAATTTAAGTAAGGGAAGGATTATTAATGGAATAATTGACCAATTATAATTAAGTCACGTGAATGACGCAGAATAATGATCTCTTAATTCAGAATTCTAAAAATACTGAGAATTCTGTGAATTCTGAAAATAAGAAGGATCTACGTAATTCTGAAGATCTTCTAAATACTGATGATAATCCTAATTTTACAAATTAAATGAAGTCTAAGAATATTTAGTATTATACTTATTTTTAATATTCTAAATTTTATTATTATTTTTATTATATTTTATATTTTTATTATTT